TCTATCTATCTATCTATCTATCTATCTATCTATCTATCTATCTATCTATCTATCTATCTATCTATCTATCTATCTATCTATCTGTATAACAACAGAGGTTGATCAATCATGCAGAACGAACGTGTACACGTGTTCGAATACATCATCCAACCTTATGCGCATAGATGTTTTTGATACAATCAATTTACTTACCGTAGAGATGATCTTCTACTTCTATATTTAGTATTCTTTGTATACGTGTAAACGTTCGTTCATCATAACTGATGAACCTCTTATGCCGTAGATCTATCTGTTTGCGATTGAGAAGATTAAACGAAATGTGAACACACCTCACGACATTTGCCCTCTTTCTTTCTTCTAGTTGTTCTTTCTGCTGTGATGAGATAGATAAAGCGGACGGTCGATGCTTAAAACTGGGAAATGCTGTTTGTGTGTGTGTGTGTGTGCGTTGTATCGGCTGAGTTTAGCGGAGGAGTTCGGTATTTAAGATGCGTTGACCTATATTCGGGCATAGTGTGAATCGGTTTTGTTTTCCGCACATCTTAACAAACTAACCATGAAATCGTTTGGTTCACCAAGAACTACTTAGGCAACCAATAATCGATCAAACTAGTTTTACTAACAGCAGCGTTTATCGGAGCAAAACAAGTAGACGTTCAGTTTGAAAAATTCGATGTAAATGATATTTTCATATCGGTAATCTACAAAACCACGTTCACTCGAACATCACTTCACGATTTTGCTAAACAGATCCAGTGAAAGCATTGTCCAATCGACAACAGGAAGCAATGGAGAACAAATACAGATTGGTTTTTCATGGTTTCTAGTCATCCACCCACAGGAAATCAATCCTTGTCTGGTAACGCGGTACGTCCAACGAAATCAGGTAATGTTTGCATGAGGCAAACTGAAAGTTGAAAGCGTGACCTAGATATCACAAATGGTTGTAGTCTCATCCCGTTCGAAACCATGCGGACAAGGTGGAATATGCACTGCTCATGATTTCCAATAATGATTGGATAGCTTTTAAGTGCTTTCAAAGTCGTTTCACTGCACGTGACGAGTGCACACCAATCAAGCGTCTCAAACATCGTGAATGTTATAATGTTAATTTATACAGCGATGTCGATAGAGAATTATATTTTCCGACGTTTCGGCTACCGTGGGTAAACTTGCTCAAGGCAGCTTTTTACAATCCAACTGTTAAGGAAGCCGTACTCACTGCCTTCTCGTGGTGCGATGTTTCCCACACACCAAAGTGAGAGGACAAAAAGCCGACATTTGGAGGGTGAGTGAACCACTGGCAGTTCACCTAAAATAGTTGGTCAAAAACCCTGATCCCAAACAAACCAAGAAGAGGCGTACAAATCACACACACACAACTTCCTGGTTGTGGCAGTGGTCACCGGCTCGATTGATCGTCTTGGACGTTTGACCCCGTCCAAAAAGCGAATGGTCCGATCAACTGGACATGGACCCCCCCCCATTGGATTGTGGTTTTCACACACCGCACCCCGCTGCCTTGCGGGTCAGGCTTTGGTTAGCCAAAAGCTCCGGTTGTGAATTTCTCAAGAAAATTCACTTGCCTCGGCCTGGATAACCTGGCTGTATTTGGCCCACATGTAAATCATGGAACATTTTTCTTTTTTTCACAAAGATTATTGTATCATGATTTGTTTGGCACATAGTCTGGCCTCCTATGCGTGTGAAATATACTATGTACATATATAACATTCTCATCTGAAGAGTTTCAGGACACTGAACAATTTTACGATCTTTTTTGTTCAGGTGGATATGGGCGAGGTGATCAGCAGCAACAGTACCATAACGGACCAGAGAATCAGGCTGATAGATACATCGATCTGGGATTTCCTCGGAGTCCTATTTATTCACTGCTAATTTGTTCAAACTAAGCTCATCAGGGAAAGTATCCCGTTATTGTTGGTGCTGGACGGTTCGTCGAGTCGGGAACGTTTAGTCGCGGACGAGATCATGGCCGATTTAACGGGGAGTCATCGGTCTACAGTGTGACCGGAAATATATGGTTTCGATCGGATAATGGCGTCCCTGGTACAAGGTGAAACGACATTTTTTCCAGCTCAACCTGGCCATGAAACGTCTGCAAACAATATTTCGAGCTCGGGACAACCCTCCAACACTAATGTCCTCATCCTGAGCTACAATCATCTGACATCACATTCCATGCAATCGTATTCAAATATGAACTGGTATGAGATGGCCGAAAGAAAGCATGGGACAAATGTTTCGTTCTTGTTCTGGCTCATCAGGATTGTTCATCAACGTTTTGTATTCCCGCCCGGACTCAAACCGTGTATAGGGAGAACTGTTTAAACATGAGCCACATGGTTCATAACCAAAATCATGAGTGGTTGGTTCTTTGAATGTGTGTTTACTCATTTGATTTCACAAGCGTATTATTAGAGTATCGCTTGTGTTTAAGGGTGTTTGGTACCAAACATCTCAACCCCGAGCGAGTATGAATGCCGCTAGTGTCAAACGATCACACTACAATCAACTGTGTGCGGAATGTCCAAAGACTCTTGATTAGTTTCACAGAAGAATTACAGCCTGAATAAAATAGAAACTATCAAAACAAAGGAGCAGATCAGTGAGCAGAAATTCGGTGATGATCATGGGAATAATTTGGGCGATCGACTGACCTCGATTAGGATGAGGATAATGATCATCCATGCCAAATGAGACGAATGCCGGGACTGGAGATCATTAGTCAGTATCTGAGTCAGTTCGCAGCACATATTCAGTCGGGAATTGAGAACCTGACAAAAAAAGTGCAACGTTTCGAAATCGGGGGTAAAAGAAAAAAAACGGGGTAAACCGACAACGGAAGCATGAGAAAAAACAAGATTAACAACAACAATTGGTGGATTGTTGAATGCATTTCGAAACGATATCATGTCGTGTTACATGTTACTTCATCAGAATTTAGCATCTGGTTAGACTTGTTTACCAATCACCGAAACA